GCTGCTTCTCTGCCGCTCACTGCACAGAACAGACGCCGAGAGAGGTGACACTTCTCCGGGAAAGTCAGACCTCGCGTTCGCGGGACAGCACTGGCGAAATCTTCCAACTGAACCATAGTTAAGGTTTATCCAAAAAAGTCGCTAGGTTTTTCAGTATGAATATTCTATGGAAAAAAGCCGCTAAAAGGGTCTGAAAGTTGCTAAATCTAGTGCTAAAGTCGTGTGTGTGAGATGCGGGAGCTGATGGCACGGGGCGGTGGATATTTGTGGTGGTCAATGTGGATATTGTGGATGAGTTCTTCTGTCATCACGTTTTATTAGTTCTACAGCTTCAGTTTCGGAACTTTCACGCTTAGTAACACATACAGCTGTTCCCTTTCAAACAGTGTTGCGTTCCGAACGTTGTTTAAGCGACATACCGTATTGTGGTATTTTAAAAATTGATATCATAACAAAAATAAACACAGGTATACGGTATGAACCGGTATACCTCCCTGCACTATTTTACAGTAGCTAGCTAGCCAGTAAAATCAAGATATGAAAAATCTAAGCCAGTTAGCACTATTTCATTGACAATTTAGGAGGTATAAACTAGCTGAAACTGTGAGGCTCTTTCTGCTAGTACTGGTCAGAAGTTTGGAAACATTACTATTTTAATGTTTTAAACATTGCATATCTTTTGCTCATCAAGCCTTCATTTATTTGATCAAAAATACAGAACAAAACAGTAATATTGCGCCGTATTACTGGTATTACAATTTAAAATAATGGTTTTCTGTTTTAATATACTTATATATTTATATATACTTATATACAGAATAATGTATTTCTGTGATGCAAAGCTGAATTTTGAACATCATTACTCCAGTCTTCAGTGTCACATGGTTCTTCAGAAATAATTCTAATATGCTTATTTATAGTCAGTTTTGGAAACAGCGGTTTAATTTTTTTTTTTTATTATTATTACCTGTGATTTTTTTCAGGATTCTTTGATGAATAAAGAGTTAAAAAAAAGAACAGCATTTATTTAAAATAGAAATCATTTTTTAACAATACATACTTTTATTCAACAAGGATGTGTTCAATTAATAAAAAGTAATAGTAAAGACTTATATTGTTAGAAAAGATTTCTATTTTGAATAAACACTGTTCACAAGTTTTCATTCATCAATGAATCCTGAAAAAAGCATCACAGATGCCCCCAAAAAATCCCAAAATGTCATTTTTAAAATGTGTATTAGTTTGCATGCATGTGAGCCTATGATCAAACAAAATGTTTATATTTATGTTTGTATATGATAGTTTTATACATTTCCCCAAATTTTCAATTAATTCCCATAAATTCCTGGTAAGTTTCAAACTTGGAATATTTCCAAAATTCCACAGACGAAGTTCCAATGGAAAGTTTCCGGAAATTTTCCGCCCCTTTGCAGCCCTACTTATAGCTCATCTTTACTGAGGTAGTAATGTTGCTTATATTAGCAAGCATAAGGACAGGATGGTCCTTTTAATGGATGGGTTGGCAGTGAAAGGACTGGAGAGAGAAAGAGAATAGTCTGTTCAGACAGCCTCCGATTCAGGGTCTCGGGATGTTTAACCTTGTTTACCTGCTCACCGGTTTTGTGGAGGATTGGTTTGGTTTTAAAGTGTGCACTGTCCGTCTTGCTTTCTAATATGGTGCAATATTAGATCCGCAAAAGTTCTCTTTTGTTCTTAACACATACAGTTTCTCCTCCTTTGCATTTTTATGACTATCACCCTGTTTCCCTCTATATACTACCGTTCAAAAGTTCAGAGTTACTTTGGAGGGTTTTTTTTCTTTTTCTAATTGATGTGTGTGTAAATCTTTTTCCCCACCCCTAATGTGTAGGGTAGCCCACATGTTGCGTTTTCATAACTACACAGTGACATGTAGTTTATTTATGGGTAGTGGAACAGGCAGCACATCAGCATACCTATCAATCTGAACCCAGAGCGGTCACAACTTGCACAACCATTTTTACCCCCCTCTGTCACGAAAACCGACCCCAGACCAGCAGCCTGACCCCTGAGCGATTGTGGGGCTCAGTGTCTTTCTTAATGTACCAGGATTTGTTGTCACTTCTTCTCAACATTCCTGCCTCACCCCTTAGTAGAGTTTAGTAGAGTTTAAATGGCGACCTTTGTGCTGGCAAACAAGGTACTTAACCATTAGGCTACCAGCAGCCTGAGCATTGAAATTAGGACTCACCTCGGAGTTTGTGCCAGCTAAAGGCATGTGCTTGATATCGCTCGCTCACTCTCTCGCTCTCTTGCTGCTACTTTATGGTAATGTGGCATTTCACTGTGGCTTTCTCGTTCAGCCAAAGGACAGAAACACTTTAGTTTCTATTTTTCATTGGCTCTTTTTTAAAGTGCACACTAAAAGAGTGCTTTTAGGTGCGAGGGTTAAGTGTGTGTATGTGTGTGACAAAGACAGGCAAAAATAAAAAAATCATGTATATCGCAGATTATCATTTACAATTAAGTTTATTTCTGATTTATATTGAAAGGTCACATGGTGAGGGATGTATACTGTGTGAGCCTCAGAGAAGATTTAAATGAACGGCGTTCTTGTTCATGACCCATTTCTGGTTGAGTCGAGGATATTTAAATTTTTTAATTCCTGCTTTTACTTTAAACTACTCTCTTGCAGTCCAAGAATATTAAACATGCAGACACGCAGCACTTTTACTCCAGAGAGTCAGAGAGAAATCCTTCCTGCTGTAGTGTGTTGAAAGGTGGAAGGAGAGACACTGGGTGAAAGCGAGGGATGAAAAAGAGAAGGATGGAGGAATTTATGGTTGTGCTCGGGTCAAGAGAGAAGATAGATTGAGTTCTGTAAATGTGGCTAATATACTTGCAGCAGTTGTGTCACCTCTTCTGGGACTCATTGCATGTGTGAGAGAAAATACGTTGTGTTAAAGGTTTCATCCTTACATGGCCCATGTTTTGATCTGGGTGTTGCGTCACTTTTCAACCCCTCCCAGGATTCTGGGGCCCCATGAAATGCGCACACACACACACACACACACACACTGTATCAGTGTTGTAGGACATTAGTTGCACTTCATCAGAGAATTCTATGTAACCAAAAATTACTCTTACATATGCATCCAGCAGCCAATGAGAATTTCAGTGGGATTGGTCCAGTTGTCTTTTAGGAAATCCAATTTGCTCTATTCCCACTTGATTTCAGACTGACCTGGATCTTACACTTTCCTAGTCGTCAAATGCTCTGTCAAGAGTTTTTTCTAGTGTGTAAGCACTAGTAATGCTGTGATCCCACTTTTTTTCTTGCTACTGCTCTGAGACAGCTGACAACATGTCAGTGCTGAATTATGTCTAGTACAGAGTGCGATACATGCACACTGTTTCTTTGTGTTTTCAATCATTTCAATTTTAATGTGATTTCTTGTGTAAATTGTTACAAAAATTCAAGAAATTCTATTTTTAAAAGTTTTACTTTTGAAGTTTCTGTTCACTGTTTTAAAGTTTTCATGAATAAATTACATTTTAAAATATAACCAAATAGAAATGTTTAATTATAATAATTTAGTGTTGCTGTATTTTAGATCAAATAAATGTATTCTTAGTGAGGCTTCTTTTAAAAATCTTACTGACTTCAAACTTTTTAACAGTAGTGTTTGCATAGTGAAGAATGATTTTGAGAGCAGCAGACTTGAATTCCAGCTCGTTTGTCAGTTAAGGCTATCATGTAACTCCAGAACATTTGGAACATAATGCACGATTCGTTGCACGGTTTTGGACAACCATGAATAAACCTACTATTGGATTTGCATGCCTGGTGCTCATTCCATTTCAAAACGCCACCAACGTTCCGTCGCTTTTCCAGGTATCAGATCAGTGTGTCCCAAGTAATTACTCTTAATGTAGATAGACTTTTTGTCTAATGCACTCCTATATTCCACAACAGGTGTGTGTTTGCTGCGCCATCTGGTTGTTTCAAACCCTAACTATCAGCTCATTTAGCTCACTATGTTTTAAAGCACAGCCACTATGTGTGAGGGAGGGAATGAGCGTGAGGGTAAACTGTGTGTGTGTGCAAGCGTGACATGAATGGACATCCTGAGCTTAATCATGTTTTGGCAGCAGCAGTTTAACCTCATCTGGAGCTGCCAGCTATGAAAGAGTCTGTTTAAAAGATCTCAGTGTGTGCATGAGAGTTCCTGTTACTGTGAAACTTGGAAATATATAAAAATACAAAACAAATATCATGAAATATATAATATCTCATGATATTTGGCAACTTAATTTAGGGAGAAATGCACTGGAATGTGGCATCTTGCGTGAATGAAAGGAATGTTGCATTTCATGCCTTTTTTTCTGTTTTTTTTTTTCTTTCTTTTTTTCTCAGCCGTTTCTGATCTGTTTGTCTTTTTTTGTCTACCTGCAGAGATAACCAGAGTGAGGAAGGACATGTATAATGACACAGTGAACGGTCTGGTGGACAAACACCCCCTGGAGTTACCAGAGCCAATGGGACCCATCGTACATCTACAGGAGAAACTCTTCGTACCAGTCAAAGAGTATCCAGATGTAAGTCTCACACAAGCACTTTGAAAATTTTTCTGACTTGTGCTGCTGCTAGACTCAAGCACAGTGATTGACTGCTACTGTAGTGACAGATGACTGACAGTTATAGTGTCTAATGAAATCTAGAGGTGAGAAGGTTTACTCCTGGTTCTCTAGCGGGGGGAAACATGTCGTTTGGGAGTAAATGAGGACTCTGTCATAAGCTAGTTCAGCAGTAGTAGTTTTTATCAGTCCCCTGCAGGGAACTAGGAATGGTGCCGGAATGCCACAGGCCATGTTCTAGTAGTAGAGTGGGATCTTTTTGGAGTGTGTTCTGCGTTGAAGATAACTGTTTCCACCAGCGAACACATGATGTAGCTTGACGTTTAGATGATCATGTTTGACATTTCTCTCATATTCGCAGACAGAAACACACACACTGGTGGCCCATGTCACACAGGGAGAAATTTTGCTGCCTAATTCTTCTGCTAGGTGGACAAGGGAGAGGGGAAGAGAGAGAAAAAGGGGGTCAGCAGAGCATGAAATGTGTTTTCCCTCTGACGGCCCTGATAAAGGCCACCCCATCTGTCCCAGCGGACCACCACACACGCACACACATAACCCCAGGTTTCTCTCAGTTTGCAGCACAGTTAATTATGATGGAGGCTGCTGCTCTGCTTATCTTTATTTTTTGCAGAATGTTTCTTTTTTAAATTGGCCTTTACTTTAAGCACTTCCTGTAATGATTACTGCTTTACTTGAGAAAAATATTCACCTTTGTATGACCTGGGAAGCTGTACATTAAGTTAATTTTGCTATGGATAAGGGAGTATTGTTAGGAATGATGCAAATTTGAGCGGGGGGAGGAACTTAATGTTTTGGTGTTTTACTCTCACCAAGACCATTTTATCAAAAATACAGTAAAACAGTCTCAGAATAGCAGGAACAGCTACTGGAAAACATGGCTGACCGGTATAGAATGAACACCACATCTCTGTCATGCCATGGAAAATATAGAGTGACTGTTTGTGTGTTTGAGCAAATGCAAGTAGGAGGACACATGCGCACACACACACACCAGTGTACATAGAATCCCCAGCTGACCCCCTCAAATCTGTTTCTTTCTCACTGTGCTCCCTGCAAGTCTCGCCTCATTATTCTTCCCCCTGGTGGTTAGCATGAGTCACTGTTTCACAACACACACACACACACACACACACACAC